CTCTTCGATCATCTGATCCCATGCACCCCCTGTGCGCATTGTTACGCGACGTGAATCTCCACATCTGAGAACTTTCACCAATCGGTGTTTACTCTGAAAATATCGGGGTGCAAATTGATGACATAGAACAAGTGATCATGCGTCTGTAGAAAGCGTTTTAGGCTGCCAGACGCCTGAATTACTCAGACAAACCCGGGGGTGGGGGGTGAGCCGTTAGATTCAATCGTGAACCTTCGGTTGGATGATCCTTTTGAACCTGACTGACGAACATCGGATTGACTAGCTCTGAAGACGACGTGAAAAAGCCTAATCCATTAGTTCTGGTCAACCGTGGCATAAATTTGTCAGCGTAGTGGTGTGCGTATTCGAACATGCTTGAGGTCCGATGTTCAAAGCTCGAATGATCCAGTAGATTTACACCACGGATGAACTCTAACTAGAGAGAAACTTAAAATTCCATGCCTTCGGGTTGTGCTATATCGTGTAGATGGTTAATGAAAAACGGTATGATCAGCTGCCAGGTGGCCTGTGAGGTCCCTGGTTCGTTCCCCAGTTGGATCGATGGATTTGCCTTGCTAATGAGACCCAAGCAGGTAGAAACAGCTGTAAAGTGCTTCTTAGCTTTTCAGTCCACACCACAAATTCTTTCTTTGAAATTGAATCAATTACTCCATTACTCTCATGCTTTCGGGGTATGTTTGACTGGATGAACTGAGGAGTCTATGCGTGAGAGAGGGAGAAAGAAAGGAATGGCTGATCGAACTAAAGTATCTAAACACTTAGGAGTTAAAAACGAGGAAACCAGCTCAAAACAACGAGATGGTTTTCGAGGCCAATCTGCTGGTTTCCACCTGGCGAAAAGTTTCGACACTATATTCACGGGAACCTACGATGGAAGTATAGGAATCAACAACCAAATTCTTGAAACATCAGGCGCTTAACTTGGAATGACGAATGTGTTGTTGGGCCCCGCAACAACCAATCATCTACGATACCAGTGTGTTGGTGTCAGCAAAACTGAAACGTACACAGAAGGAGACCGATATGCTTGCTCTTTGGTCACGAATTTGACTGTTGGAGTCTTGCAATATACCAGATTGACTCATGCGACATTCCCAGGACCCAGAATTTGGTCATCGAATTTTGGCTGTGTAATTCAACGGCATCAGTTACTCGGGAAAGATAATAAGTATATTCTGACTAGTTAATTCTCAGGCATATGCACTTTTTGAAACTACTTCATGAATTGGGGATAGAATCTTTTCTACTGCTTGAAGGGTTACTACGCGCTCCAGCATAGGGAACCATCCACCCCCCACTGATTGTGCCGTTATGGCTGGTTCTAAGCAATTATCGTGCAAAATAGACGGAACCTTCAGGCTTATATTTAAGCTTACATCCTCGAACCCTGATCGAAGCAGTATATTGGGGAATTCTGGGTTCACCGACGAATAAATCGCCGGTGTTAAAAGTAATGCATTTGTTATCCCAGGTGCTATCGTCACTACTGTGTGTACTTAAGTTCATATGGGATAAGACATCGCTTATCTGTAGTCGTTTTTTGTTTCTGACAGGTGAAATAATCGCTAAAATACATTAGCGTGTTGTGTGGCTCTTACCGATGAACTTTTTCCCTCTGATTGATTTGTTACGGGAAAATTTCTCCTGTGTGGCTTCATGCAACTCCACTATTTATTTATTCAGTCGTCTTATCCCATTCCACTATTCGTCCTTCTATTGTCTAGGCCTATTACTCGCTCATGGTTGACTCCATACGGCATTTGTCACTCAAACTGCGTCAATGTTCTGACAAATTAGTTCAGCGTGTCAAGTAAGTGATCAACTTGTCCCCACTTCACCTGTTTTATAGCTACCGATTTGTTCGTTATGTGATATGCAGCTGCAGGTTATCGGTCTTCATGCTTAGTCTTTTTAGGCAATGGGTTTATTATAACCAGCTTTGTGCTACGACTTGGCTCAACCGCCCCCCCCCTCCACGGCACTCCAAGTTGTATCATATCGATGCCAGAAAACTCGTAGAAAAAACCAATTCAAAATGTACTGACCTCTCGTAGTCTGAATGGAGCAAAGAATACCACCATTTGACAGTGAATCTGGACCCGTAAATTCCATACTGATCAAACAATTCGGTACAAAAATTCTCACTGTGGTATTCGGTACTATACGATTAAACAGGTTATGTAGTGTGTTGCGATACAGCTATGGCTACATGTCAGTCACACACACAAAATACAAAAACACTCAAAACGCCGTTACACACACGGAAAAAGAAAAACGTGTGCGCAAGAAAGCAAAAAACGAGTTCATTAAAACGAAAAGGTTCATCCGTAATCCAGTTACCGCCTTATCTTTGTCAGTAAGGATCGGGGTCAAATGTGGAACAGGAGAATTTCTTTATGTATTAATTCTCGCTGGTAGGAGTCGAAAACTCGACCTAGCTGAAGGATGAGAACGACCGGCAGATAAGGGGAACGTGTGTGACTAAGGAAAATTTCGTGAGCGAAACGTTCGCAAGAATCAATGTGGAGGTTGCACAGTTTGCTAACAAAAGAGTTCACGGGAAGTCGTAAACGCGCGGTTGAGCCACGACGAAGAGCCATGAGGTTTTTTTAACTAAACCGGAGAAGATCGTAGAGGGCTAACAGATAATAATGAGTAAGATATCCTGATAAACAAAATAACAGACTGTTTGGTGGTAAATTGCCTCGACTTGCGGATATGGAAGGAAGACAAACGTCTGAGTTTGCCAACAGTACCCAGGATCTGGGTAAACCATTTGTAATTACTTTCTGTGGTAACACTATTCGATAGTGTCCGCCCCACACTGGGAGAACCGTCAATGCAAGAAGGTTCATTGGGGTAGGAGCTTGAAACAGTGAAGATAGCCTCAAAAATTTATAAGTTGAGATTAAGGCCTGATCACCATTGTCGAGAAAGGCTCACTGCGTTCAATGACTTGTAATAGGGCCGTCAGCTCGTTTTTTTTTCAATTCAACACGCAACCAATTACAACTGGCAAAAGTGCCACAACATATGAAGAGGAAAACTGTAATGTGTTCATAGTTTGTGTGGATGTCACTTCCCAGAGGAAGGGGGATAACCTCGAGGTCCAAACCCGAAGCATTTGGTCGGAAAGCCAAACCTGCAAGACAGTTGGACGGAGTTCAGAGTCCGCAGTCTATTGAGGGTCGGTATCCGGTTCATTGGATCATACGCCCTTTGGATGGGGTCAAGCGTCCAAAGTGCCCAATTGAGCCGGTGACCACTGCCACAACCAGGTGTGTCGTTCGTACACCCCTTCTTGCCTGGTTTGTAATAAGGGTTTTTAGCCAACTCCCCTGGGTGAACTGCCGATGGTTCACCAACCCTGTTATAGCCCCGGATGCTAACCTTTCGTCCTCTCACTTCGGTGGGAAAACACTGCGGGGAGGCAGTGAGTAGGGTTATTTGAACCGCTTGGTCATATAGGTGTTAGGTAAGGGTGACCAGTTAGCCGGAGACACCCACCCCGAGGTTATAACACCCTTCAAGCATATAATCGTCACGAACACACGCACTGACCAGTCATGCGTTGCATTGCTAGTGAATATATGCAGTGCCTAATGTCACGCGATCGCAGCTGGCGGACACGAGTGCGGTACTATGTTGCGCACTATCACCAGGTCAAGTAACGTGCTGTAGATTAAGAATAGTAAGCAGACATATCGCAAAATGGGGTTTCCAAAACTGCGTGAATTTTGTCTTCTCAAAGATGACAAAAGTAGTGTTATTACTGATTAGCGACAACACTGTAGCCTGTTACAAGCGCTTCATAGTTTTCAAATGGATGACCTCATTTGCTAGCGTGTCTTTCACAAAACCCAATATTTTTTCCAACTTATCTTAAACAGTATTTATCTCACATTTTGGTTCCGTTTCGGGGGTAGTTTTCACTCTTCTAAACCAGAAGCCAATGCAGAATTCTAATTTATGTTTTTATGTACCTCTGGTCGCACGGATTTGCTCTTGTCTCACACAGTGCTGAACAGAACGCCGCCCTGATATCCTCACCCACAGACAGACGGACGTCACGTGCCAGTTCCACAGATAGTGTACCCACTTCAACCAAATTCGCACTAAGTGATGCTCTGGAGAATATGCGAATGATCAATCAGCAGCTCAAGAGTGAGTCCCTCCTCCCCCACCGTTCACGTTCGGTCACATTCCGGGTGTTGTATATGGTGCCTGCCAGCAAGGCTGTCGTCCACGGATCTGCAAAGAATTGATGTGTTGATACGAAAACAAATAATCTGTTTTGACTGCTTGTTTGGCTGTAATGTCACTTAATACCACGGTAATCCTATTGGGGCCTCTCATATTTCTCTAGGCCAGGGCTAGAGGCACTGGTTACCAGTACGGTACGTCTCCGGGGCTATGGGATTTATCCCTTCTGCGGTTCATCACACAAGAATTCATCATATTAAAAAAGTATCACTAACTGGCTTCACTGTAATATTGCCTGATACAACAATCATATGACTGTTTTTAGGCCTGGTAGACTTCACAAGATAATAATCGATTCAGTAGAATCTTGCTGCAACTGAGTGTATGTAATGATTGTAGTAATACGCACGGAACTCGGAATACGGACCACGTAATACGAATCACGGGACGCGAATCAAGGATCTGCTACCACGGACTGGATCACGGAAGCACTGGACCGCAATGGTACGAACACGCAATATCCCATGTGACTGAGCTCGAGGAAAAGGCCACAGGAACGGTAGTTCGTTTATTGGAAGAAATGAGGGCGATTAAATAATATGTACAAAAGAAGATCATTGGTTATCTAGGCTTCCACCAATCGCATCCCAGCATTGCTTGCATCATTCTGCTTGTCTGGACTGCACTGTCTCGGATTGGCTGACACGATCGGCCTATGATGTGTAGTCAGAAGCAGTGACACGTACGCGCATCATTGATGTCACCTTTGAAATTTGATAGATCGCAGGCATCCAAAAACTGTAACGCGCCGCTCCAGAGTAGGTGTCATCTCGTAGGCCTGGATCACCACAGTATACCACCTTCACCTATTCATTGTGCATTCCTCAACAGAATTTCCAAACCTAGCTATGGTCCTCACTTTTATGATAAGTTGGTATGCTCCGTGTGAGTCTTATGGCGAAGTTCGAAACGAGAACGCTTTCTGTGTTCATATCGAAGGGAGATTCGCCAAAGTTTCATTGATCTTATCGTACTTCCCTCCTTTGTTTACCTCCTCGTTATTTCAGTGGTTGATGAGTTGTTGTTCTCGCAAGGTTGGAACGAAGGACAGCAACAACAACAACAGCCAACAACAACTCGCAGTGACTCATCCGACCACGGCACAGGAAAGACCGGTCCCAATCTGTTCACCTTTGTCCCGATTGATCGGAATGAACCATCCAGTCCCCAGGTCTCTCGGGACCTACCCTTGTCCGCGCCAGTGAATCGAGTGGTTCTTCATCCTGGGACAAAAGTGACCACAAAAACCAGGACTTCAGCATTTGTCTTACCAGGACAGGTGCCACCTCAAAGTCAAACACTTCGACCCCCCATGGACGAAGAGGACGAGTACTATTGAGCTTCGGAACTGTTCGCGTGTGTGCAATATGTCGTGTCATTGTAAATCCCTTTCTCTAGCCTTTCACTTGTCCATGTTTTCACTAAAACAACTTTTTTGTTGACCATCCATGCCTTCAAATTACTTGAACAATAATTGTCCCGGTTGCTATTCGACCAAACACAGAGTCCCCATGTCTTAAGCTGAAAAGGTATTATCCTCGCGGCTTCTGCTTGGCTCGATACGGTTCAGATTTCCAAAATACATGTTAGCCTTTTCGCGCCTCCCTCTCACTCTTCGTGTTTGTCAACTAGAACGGCGACACTGTTGTTTTCTTGAGGTTTTACCCTGTTCCACCCTGTCTTCTTATCTCATATTTGCTTGCCGTTTTCGAAATCCTCAGATCCAACTGTTTCATGAAATGTGAACGGTGAAAACTACCTTCTCTTCCATCCATAACATTTCAAGAGGTGTGACCTCCCATCCATCTTCCCGAGTTTTCTACTCGACTCTGCTTGCCCATTTATTATTATCATTACCACTATTATTACTATTATCTCCTTCAGTATGAACAACTTTTCCAGACACCGTGTCGTCGAGGTCTGATCAGCTTGAGCGCAAATGTGTATAGGTTTGATTTTTATCCTCATCGTAATTTCCGGTCCTCTGTAACACATGCCAAGACGGTGTTATTTTATTGCTGCCCGTTATTTTCACTTTGCTTATCATTATTTTTTGTTCGTTTGTCTGTTTTCCATTGCTCTTATTTCCCTTTGGTTTCTTTCCGCTTGAAAACTGATTTCTTCTCTCTTTCTCTGCGTGCAATCGCGTTGCTTGTCATGCCATGTCATGTTTACTGGTAAGCCCAAGCAATCACCCGAGAATTGTGCTTAAAATGGGTGCAATGCTAGTTGAACTGATTTCTTCTCTCTTTCTCTGCGTGCAATCGCGTTGCTTGTCATGCCATGTCATGTTTACTGGTAAGCCCAAGCAATCACCCGAGAATTGTGCATAAAATGGGTGCAATGCTAATTGAACAAACCATCTAAACAGACCACGGACAGCTGAAATCTCATTCGTCCTCGACAGTTTCCTTTTCACGCGCTCTTCTCATCATCTATTTCGAAAATCGTTTCAGCTTTACCCCCATCAGAACGCCTCAACCTTTACAAAATATACATATATTTAAGTCATACAGGTGTTATCTTTTCATAAACAAAATAAGCGAGCAAATAAAAACATCTCAATTTCGCATGTTCCGTGATACACCGAAGCCGTACCGTTCCAAAGACGATTGGCTCGATGACTCGGGAAATTTCGATCGAGTAGATGAGTTCGTACGTTCGTTTTCTTCCTCAATCTGCAATCCAACTTCCAGTGGTTTTCCAGTGAGTTTGGCATAATGAGCAGAGGCTCCGGCAAGCAAACGACTCATGGTCGGATCTAACACACACACACAAGCACATGCACAAACGCGTGTGCATGCTCGCTCTGAGTATATATTCGAACTTACTAGATCTCATATTGCTGTCGGTTCGGGTATATTTTATCGCACTCTCAAAATAGGAAACGGGCCATGGTGAGACACGTTTTTTCGCAAGAGAACCTTCAAATATAAAGAAGAAACGGCTTATGAATTTCATGCGTTTTGGGCAAATAAAAATATATGCAACTGATATTAAGCTAATGACCCAGTTTATAAACAATACAGGTGTTGACCAAACTCGTGCAACATCACCCTCATTTTGAAAATCCATTTCAGCTTGCAATATCATAGTTATGTATAGATGGCTATGAGTACAGTGTATTTATTCCTGACTTTATCTTCAACATCTACGTTCTTAGTTCATTTCTATCACCATTTGAATGTGCGCGACCTTGAGTGTCGCTATAAAATTTGCAGTAGTTCGAAAGTTACAGCTCTGATTTAGAAAATATTTTGGGCAAAGTAGCATGGGTGCTCATTCTTTTTAATAGATGATTCCTGTCCTATGAGAGTCTCTATTAGGTTGAGCACACGTATTCTAAATTTCTATTCTCTTTTCATTCAGTGCACAGTAAATAAGCAATTTATTGAAAATATTCTAACTTAAATAAATTGCTAGATTATTAGGCTACAAACTACTCACGCATTATCTCCAATGCTGGAAGAACTGAAAACATAGTCCAAGAAAGATACAAGTTGATCTTCGAAACTTGACCTTGAGATGTGCGGCTCGTTGAATAAGCGTCCTGTAGTATCACCATGCCCAAACCGGATAAAACTTTCAGGTTTTGGCATATATTTAAAACTGAGAAGTAACTAAAACGAGAGGCGCATGAATCTGTTGGCTCAGTTGATATCTTGTGGAAGCGCTTCTATGTGAACATAAGTCCAATTTGTTGCATATTCAAAGAAATTTCTTCATCAAGACAAACTGAGAGGGAGAAAACCGGCTATAGCAAAGTAAGATGATAGTTGTATTTGATTTCAGCAGAGAATAGTTACACAAATCCAATCTGGATGATAGTCCGGGCTGATTAGCCATTTCCCCCCACGATTTCGTTTGGAAAGTGATGGCTCAATTTGAAATGCAGGTGAGGCCACGTGATAAAAAACTATTATCGAACGCCCAACAAAGCATAGCGCGTATTGATTTGACCAACAAATTCAAATCGCGTCGCCCGCCCATTTGGCAATGGGTTTATCTCACTGGTGGCCAACGCGTAATTCAGCATATTGTTAAAGCTGATCTACTGAGCCAGTTTTCTAATGAATTTCTTTTTACCTGTCAAAAGAATTAAATGTGTACACCGCCTAACGAGTTGGAAAGGGTAGGATTATTGAGCTCATTGTTGTTGGTCTCCTGCATACGCCAGTTCGGACATGGTAAAACTTTCTGCACTGATAAGGGAGATTTTCGATAACCTTCACTCCAAAAATGCATTCACGGAAGTCATATTTTTCACATATGAAGGTTGGTATATCTTCTCGCTTGAGCTTGGTGGTAGAAAACGGTGAGACCTAAATAAATATTATTTTTTCACTTTTATACAGTTTCTAGAGGGGTCGATTTCAATGTTAAATTCGTTTTATTAACGCGCAGCAGCTAGGATTTTAATTTANTTTCCCTCTATCAGAAACAGGGATAAGTTAGCTACCTTGCCATTGGTCGCCAGTGGTGAAGGTGTGCGGTGTGTTAGAGGAAACTTGCAAATTCTGTTTGGCAGTTAACTTAGTGGATTCCATCCTAAAGCGACTGTCTCCAGTGCTCAAAAATGAAGAATAGCAAATGGAACATGGCCGAGATGAAAGTAGAATACCTGTATAAAGTCCATGGTGAAACGATATTACATTACGGGAAAACTCGTGGTCTGATTTGATTTGTGATACCACATCGGGCAGCACAAACATCTGTAGAACATTTGTGACGACAGTGGTCTATGCACTGCAGAGTGAAGACCAAGAAAAATTGCAATCTCCTCTGTACGGTTTAAATAATGGTGTAAACATGATCGTTGTACTTCTCGCAAGTTAATAAGCTTGGTAGATCTAAAATAAAGACCGGTGTTTGAGCACGCAAGTCCATGCAGCACTACTCGAATGTGTTGAGAGAACTGAGTAGGGAAGGTCATTTGTTGGGCGTTAGGCCATTATAACCGAACACCACACGAAGTCGGTCATACGTTGGGCATGTCTCAAAATGATTTTCCCAAGCGGGGGCTGTATTCGCCAAGGCGGTCATGAGGTATTTCATTTGTGGTGCAAAAAGTAAGAATTGCTCCATCATTTTATTTCCTTTCAGGCTTTCCTGAACAGGGATTCGAGAAGACTCTGTAGACGGTGTGACTCACGTACCGCACACAGTAACATTTATGTATATCTTCAAACAAACGCCACCCATATAATTATTACATTCAAAAATTCACTTTGTAGCTTCATTCTTCAAAAAAATTTGTTTTCTTTAGAGATTTCCAGAACCGGATTGCCCTAATCAAATCCCTCTGTAGAAAAGACTACCAAGCATAACAGAATTAATGAAGGTGAATGTCTAAGTGACACAACTTTCCCAAATACATTCATTCTGTTGACTTTTTTTCTGAATTGAGATAACTTTTGTGTTTTCTCGATACACAGTAGAGCACCGCACCCAACGCGACTGATCTGTGGCGCGCAGAATAGCAACTGAAGGTCAGTGCCAGTAGGACCAATGACGAATTGAGTGCCATACAGCTCAGCGCGATAAACAGGAGACACACGAATCACCACCTTTTGGATAATGGAGACTAGCAGCATAAGACCACAGATTTGATACGGTAAACTGAATGAGGCATAGTATTGAGCTGGGCAATTAGTTCAGTTTAGTTTTTGCAATGGTTAACCTCAAACTTTCGTGCAGTATTGTTGGTTGCCGTCTTTCTGTTACCCATTTGGATGGAGTAGAGGGGAGGGTTTGAAAGCTGGAGGCAGCACCCACTTACAGAAACAGAATACAACTCAACTAAAGTTGCGTGGAACTGGAGTGGATTCACAAGTGCCACGGTTTACGACACTCAACCATGTGGCTCAGTGCCTCTTGAGGTCTCCAACCGGGAAGCCTAATGTGACCTACACGACCGAGTCCGATATGGTCAGCGTTTTCATACCCTTTTCACACCATTTGAGCGGTAATGCTCAAACAGGGTTCCTAAATCTTAACTGAACTAAAAATGGAGATTCTCATTTGGTTCTGAAGGATCAAAACAGATTCATAGAGGACAAGAGGTGTAAGAAGCAAGAGTGAAAATAGAAAAGCTAGAGACAACCTGACTGAAGTTTGGAGGCATTCAGCAGGCAAGACACCAGACAGAATAGGATCAAGTGGGAGAAGCTGGATAGTTCAAGTGAAGAAACCAAGGTAGACGAAGAAGTGTCCACCGGTGATACGCAGCCCTGCTGTCGCCCGGCTCACTACCACGCTCAACTTTTGAGGCCTTAAGTGGTTTACAACTGCAAGTCTCAGGGTTGAGTTGCCAGTCTTCCCTCACACCACAAATGTGCA